GAAACACTGCTGGGAATGAGAAAGAAGAACATGTGTGATTCAAGGGAAATCCATCTTTGCAATAACTCAGTTATTATCACACAGTCGTTTTACGGAGAAAACCACAGCACAGAATTCAAAGACTTCCTCCCATTTTGTACCGGAAACAGATGCGCACCGGGCCTTCTCCAAGTCTGCAGAGGAGACCAAGTCCGGGGCTCGATGCAGCTTTCTCCATCAGAGGACAGCACACACAGGTCCTTCCTCTACACTTTTCATCTCGCCCTCACATTTCTCTAGAGATGCCCTTATCCCCAGATCCCAGGGATTAGATCAAGGGTAAGACAGTAGAGATAATAAAGGTCATTTGGTGCAACCTCCCAGCACAGGCCATCTCCACAACAAAGAATTCTTAGAGTGGTGCTTTCCTTGGTCTTCTTTGGTTTTATCCAGTCCCTGCAATGACTTCCTGAGTGGTCTCTCCAGCCTCACCTGATGCCCCTCTCTCCACCCCCTACCTTCCACTTAAACCCCCTGTCAGCTCACTGAATGCACCAAGCTCTGTCCCAGATCGAGATCTCGGCAGGGGCTTTGGCTCTGTCTGGATTGTTCCGTTTTAACTCCCCACCTGCCTGGCACCCAGACATCTTTCAGTCTCAACTGAAACACAAGTTTCCTCAGACAGGTCTTCTGGACCAATCCCAGCATTATTCTTTCCCATTTAAAGAAGTTACCTGCAGTCACTTATCTTCTCAACTTCCTTTGACTTTAATTTTCTTTTAGTGTTATCAATTCCTTCCCATTTTGGAACACTATTTTCTTTTTTGTAGAAAGAAGAGGGAAGCACAATAGAAACTGAGTAATTCTACTTTCACTCACATCCATTAACTTCCTTATTCACCGCTTTGCTTTAAACAATGCTAGAAGAATCTTTGGCTCTCCCCAGCATTTTTTCCAGGCTTCAGCCCACTCTGGGTTTTACTCTTCTTCATGCTATCTCAACAGCTCACAACACCTTTGTAAGTATTTCTAATTATGTGTCCCTTTGTTCATCTGTTCTCCAAGCCAGTTTTTTTAAATGGATTTTACCAGAGCCTCTATGTAGCCTCATGAATTTCTCTAGGGGTCTCTCTTCGGGGATTTTACGAAATGCTCTTTCCAGCATTTGTTAAAGTTCGTTTCTCTGAATTCCTTATTTTTAAGAACTCTGTCTTCTGTCAAAGTTTCCAGTGATTCCAAGATGCCACAGGCCATTATCACTTCCTGGTCCTCATTTCACTCTGCATCTTTGCAACATCTGACTCAAGCGACCATTCCCCTTTTTTTGGAAACACTTCCTGGCTTGGGTTCCATGATGACACTTTTTTTTGGGGGGGGAAGGGGAGTTTTTTACTGGCTCCTCTGCAAGATCCCTCGTTGTTAGAATAAGCCAGAGTGTGGTCCTTTGGTGACAGCCTCAAGACCAGGGGTCCAAATAGCATCCATACTCTTTATTCCCAAATTTCTATGTGCAGCTATGACTTCTTCCAAGTGCTCCAAATTCTATATCCAAAAATTTCCAAGGGATACCTAAACATACCTCAAAAGACTGAAAATGAATTCTGCATTTCCCTTCCAACCTTGTTTTTTTCTCTTAGCTTTATCCACCTTAGGAAATAGATTCACCATCTGTGTTGTATCTCCATACAAAACCTGGTGATCATTTTGATCCTTGCTTTTCTTCAACCCACCCCTTATCTGATTTGTCAGCAAGTCCTGTCAGCTCTGTCTTTGAACAGGTTCTGAATCTCTTTCTTTCTCTCTAGGACCACTGTTCCAACCTTGATCTATGCCACTGTCATCTGCTGGCATAGCCTCTACCTGGTCTCTCTCTTCCCTGCTCAGCCTATGCTACATTCTCTTCAAGGAAGCCAGGGTGATCTTTTAGAAAGATGGCCTTCTCTGAGGCTTTTCCTTTGAATCATACAGCATTCTCCTACCCCTCCCAGGTCACTCTCATTATTTCACATTACATTTTTCCAAATAGCACTGAAACTTGTATAATTGCTAATTTGTATATTGACTTAGGTGTCTCTCTTTCTAAGCTAGAATGTAATTTCCATGATATTAACCTCTATTATCCACTGGCTTAGAAGAATACCAAGGCTCAGAGTATGCCTAGTCTCTTGAATGAATTTTCAATAGACAATATCTAAATCATAATGTCCTCTCACTTCATTCAGAATAAAAATCAAAAGTCAACATGTTTTTCGGGACTTTCAAAGCCCTCTGTGACGGGGCCCTATTATCGCCCCTCCACAATTTCTTGTTACTCCAGCCCCCCTCCAAGTGTTGCAGGCTGCTTTGCTTCCTGGAAGATGCCAGGCAAACCCCTATTGGTTATCCTTTCTGTCTGGAAAACTCTTCCTCCTCACAACCACGTGGCTCATTCTCTGACTTCCTTCAGACCAATATTCAAAGATCATCTTCACAGTAAGTCTTTCCCTGGGCACCTGATCTAAAATTTCAACACCCACTGGGCCAGCCATGCCACGCCACTGACACATTCTGCATGCTTGTAGAAGTATAGTATATACTTAACGTATATACTTATATATAGTATAGATTGAGCTTGCATGTGTCTTGTTTATTCTCCATCTCCCCAGTAAAAGGCAAGCTCTGTGGGGCCAGGGATGTTAGTCTGTTGTCTGTTTTGCCCAGTTCTGTCCACAGAGCCCAGAGTAGTGCTTGGTACTAATAAATATTTGTTGATAAATAAACACAAAACTTAAATTATTTTTCTTCATACAATGAGCAGTTGTTTACTTAAAAAGACAACTTATTAAAGATATTTTTGATTATATGTTAAACAGAGTTTTAATCTCATTATTGGTAATCTAGACAAGTTTCCTTCATTCAAGGAGGACCTATGAGAGAAGGTTAATATTTTGAGAACATGAATAATGACTGTGAGAAACTAATTAAATAATACTCTCAACTCCATGTATGGGGTTTACAATAGGCTTTTATTATGCTTAGTGATGTTGCTACATCCTACTACTGTATCATAAACTTCAGCTGTAGGTATACCTAATAATGAGTAAAAAAAAACCATTCTCCTTTAGACACCAACTCTAGAAAGTGACATACTCTTCATGGGAAACACCTGGTTTGTCCTATCTATTTTTACTGTAATTGTTTTCCTGCAACTTGACATTACAATTACTTGCTTAAGAGCTCAACTATTGGTTAAGCTACCTTGATGAATCAACTTGAGAAGCTAGATTAATTGTGAGCTGAGCTTTATGTGAATAGTTGGTCTATGTTTCATGCTCTACTGATCTAAAAGACCAAAAACCTAACCTGAAACTTCTCAGAGTGAGGGTGGGAAAAGAGCAGATTTCTGTTCTGAACCACCTGGGGTTTTGGCTGACTTCCACTTTTCCAGGAAAAAAAAAAAAACAGTAAACTAAATGAAAAGCAACTCAGAAACCAGTAAGTAATGTTAGAATAAGCTCGTGTGCCAAGGAGCTGGGAAGACCGATGTATTAGGGTTACCTTCGCTATCAGGTCAAATATTCCTGTTCCAGAAATGGCCTGTGAGAGTTGTCATTTGCTTACATTTGACAGATTCCCTTTATTCCTTCTTGGCAACTATGAGAACAGGCTCATCCAGTTTCATCTGAAATGTTTTGCTTTCCTTTCGAAAGCAATGATGGTAACATTTATGAGAGGCCCATAATCCTTAAGCAGAAAAGCCTCATTAATATGAAACTATCTGTCAAGATGACCCTTTTTTGGTCATCCATAAAAATTCCCCCTTGCCTTCTAGAAGGGTTGATCCCATATGGGTAGAGAAACTATGCTAGGAAACTATGAAAAATAACTCTTTAGGGGGAATGGCACAAGGCAAGTATGGCTCTCACTTAATACTACAATGTGGACTTTATAATAACTTGAAAATTCAACAAACTTAAATGCCTAAGGCTATAAGGCCAAAGTCAATCTTTTCTGTTAACTTCTCAAATTTAGAACTATACAACCATGCATATAAATATATATTTATTTATAATATCACTGAATATGCGTGACTGTAACTAAATATTAAGAATAGTACACATTTTAAAAAATAGGACCAAATCAAAATTCATAGCTCCTGTTATGTTAAATAATAATTTTGTTGCTAGTAACCCTGGAACCACATTTGTTAATTTGGGCCTAACTTAATAATGTACCATTTAATCAACTGGAACCTTATACCCTTAATTTTAGATCTTGAAATAAAAAGCCAGTAAATATGTTACAGGGGTGGTAACTTTAACCAAACACGGCTTTTCCCTAGTAATACAGCCTCCAGCTTTCGCTAGTCACCTGCTTCAGCATTTTTCAAATAATTAAATTATGTTGCATTGGGTGGGAAACTCTTGGAAGCTAAGGTACTGTGGCCACTTGAACAAGCACACATGCATACACCCTAATAGCTGCCATGCGTGGATCAGAATTTGGAAGTAACTGAGCACAAAAAACCCTGGAAGACAGAAATTTTGATTTCTCTGCGGCTACCACACCTGAGGAAGTGCAAAGAAATGTCTTTCACTTAGCTGGCTAGGCTCACTAAAATACTTCCCTTCTCTAAACACATTATTATTGTTATTATTATTATTAATCATTTTGGCTGTCTGGGGATACAGATGGAAGGAAACTGGCATTGCTGTGACCAGGTTTTGGGCGGGAGCGGGTGGTGTTTGTTTAATCCTAACCAGCTGTTTGCTACGGAAATAGCCGAACAGACACAGCCGGCTCGGGTTCCCGGGGGCTCCGGGGGCGGCTTCACCGCACCCCGGGGAGCGGGGGGACTGCAGCTCCGCGCGCTCACGCCCCGCACCAGCTAGCGCCGGGCACACGCTCCGCTCGGCTCGCCCCTCTCCCGACCTGCAGCTCCCCATCCACGTCTCACTTCCTTCTGGCAGGCGGGCCGCTGAGAACCCCCCGAGTGCGTGGGAACGCATTCCAACAATAACAGCCCGGCTTCCCCAACTCACCAGCCTGCGAAGTTTCCTCTGCGAGAGGGCTGGGTGTCAGGTTTCAGAGGTCTCCTTCCCCTCTCCCAAGCCCTTGAACTCCGGGGCTCCCACGCCAGCGACCACACGCGATCTGCTCTACAGGGCGACACTCAGGGGGACAGCTCCTTATTTTCCAACCTGTGGCTCGGGATCGGTCCCCAGCCCCTGCCCGTCGGGACTGCCAGTGGCAGGACATGTAGCACCACCCCTGAGTTGGCCGAGCCGCCTGGATCTGGAAGGTTTGTGTGAGAAGGCGTGTCTCCCCGTTCTAACGCCGACGTGCCGAGCTCACCTCGGGCAAATCTTGCTGGTGACTCAAAGGCGCTGGGCTCCTGGTTATATTCACACTGTAAGCCCTAGCAGCGAGCTCATTTTTATTCCTCTATTTTCCCGTGTCTTCTTTGATATCTCTTATTCAGAGAGCCCAGGGCACTGTGCGAACTTCTTCCAAGGCAGTGCATTCTCTCCTCCCAGGGGATGTCTCATTAACAACGGGGAGAGCAAGGAACTGCCAGTGGAGAACAGAGAAGTGCCCTGGGAAATAAAAGCGGACCTAACGAAATTAATGCTTTAAAAGTGGGGACCTGTTAATGTGAATACATTAATCAGTATACACCATCCTAACTGTTTGCCTCCTACCGTCACTCCAGAGACCGATAGGATAGTAAATAGAGGTCATGTCGATGAGATCAAAGGAAATCAAGAGTGTCCACATTCACTGAATAAATAATTATGAAGTACCTACTATGTGGCACGTTTTTCTAGACACGTTGGCTACTTCTGTCCACAAGAAAGATCCTGGCTGGCTCTCTTGAGGTCACAGTTTAGACTGAATCTGGTATCCCTAGTTTATGGACTGACAGTAAAGGGGAGAATCCAAGGTTGCATACATATAATAACACTTGAATTATTCCTCCGTGAAGAAAATTTAAATGTTCCAAACCATTGTTGGGAAACAATGAGATGCTATTTAAATTTTAATTGTTTGACCCAGTTCCAACAGGGGGCTTTCAGGACCATCTGGGAGGCACTGCCGTTTCCAGCTAGGGAGCATCTCCCTGAGAAGGGCTGTGGGTGGAGGAGGTGAAGGAAGAGCCCCAAACGAAAACCCAAGGTGAACACACAGTACCAAAATAGAGAAGAAGAGGACAGTGGGCAAAAGTATTTGGTCCCACAAGACTCTATTCTATTAGAAAATATGGAAGTTCTGTTCTTGTCTTGAAAATGGGGATAATAAAATGCCTTCATAGGGTTATTGCAAGCAAATGAGTTCACATCATCAAAGTGCATAGAATAGTGCCTGGGCACAGTGAATTCTATATACGTATGTGTTGTCTATACATGTTACTTTAGTAGCTCTTATCTACTTCATTATCCTAAAGTAAGGTCCAATTAATAAAAATTATTCTGAACTACTAGGAGAAAGCATAGGAGGTTTGGGTTGTAGATTTTCAAAATATATATACTGGGAATCTATATTTATGGGAATCTATACATACTGGGAATCGATATTTATAAACCTATATTTATGCAAATCTGTTTCGCATCCACCAGCAATATCTGGGTATATAACAAGCATATGTCCGTGGGTCTAGAGAGAGATAAAAGAAAGAACATAACTCTGAATTTATTCTATTGTATACAGCAAATTGATTTAAAATGAATCTCAAATCCGTATTCTTCACCTAGTTTATGTGTTCACTTACATTAATCCAAATAGCTATTATTCAAGCCATCATCTCATTTGATGTTCACCACACTGCTTTGAAATAGGCAAGGAATCTATTGTTTTTACTGTCCCCACTTTAAGAAAGAAGAAATGGAGATTGAGAAAGTCCCAACAAGGTGTCCAGAATCATGACGATCATAAGGGTAGAACTCAGGTTTGCTGATCCCAAAGGCAGGGCTCAGGGTGCTCACTACACTGTGCTGTCACCTTTTTCTAGAAAAAGTCCCTGCCGTGAGAAAGTCTAACACAGACACTTCTCATCTGCTCTCCTCGTCACCCTTCCCCAGGTAAGCGGCCAACTGCCTCATAGGGCCCACGTTTGCAGGGACGGCCCTTCTGGTGTCACCTGCCACGTAAGTCCCATCTTTGGGTTCTGAGGCCCAGAGTCACTAACGTTACATAGTAATGCTATTCAGCTACTGGAAAGTGGTGAAACTTTTCCTTCCCTGTGGGAAGGGGGATTCCAAGGAGAATGGTGGGAGAACAGGAGAGAAGTAATTCTGGGCCACCTCATGAAGGCCACGTTGACCAGAGGTAGAGCAGAATAAAAGACGCTGCAAAACCAGTGAACACGGGGGCAGCATCATGAGTCATAATCAAAAATAAATGGCTTCCTGTACCTGGAGTTTCTGTGGCACAAATTAAATAGACACAATTTGTCAGTGGGTTTATCAATCAATCAATAGAGCACTGAAGTAAACAGATACATGTACGTACATGGGAGACTTCTAGTTAAAAATGACAAACTGATCACATGTGTTTCATCCTCCCCTTCCCCAAACTCCTCTAACGTGAGAATAAGTGGATTTTTAAATGTTATTAAATAATAGAGACAAATAGAAAGAAGAGACCTCAAAAGATAAAATAAACAGCAAGAGATGGTTGGAAGAATGTAAATCAGATGGAGGCTTGTCACTGACTTGGAAGAGAAGAGTTTACACTCTGTGTGCCTATAGAGGGGTTATGGATAAGAAGCAAGATGATTCTCTGTGCATTTGCCTGGGAGGCTCGGGCCTAGGAGGCAGAAATACCAGCAGAGAAGGAGGCCAGGTGGTAGGGTGAACACAGGGGCTTGGTTAGACGTCTGTATACAGAACGCTTGGACTCAAAGCTTCCTTCTCCACTGCCGTGCAATCAACCAACCATAAGTTCCTCCATCTGCTCAACCCAGCCTCCAGGAGACTAGAAGTTTATTTTCTGGAGAAAGTAAACTAGAGTAATTTGTGGTTTAACAAGATAAACACACATTTTTACTCTGCTCCCACAGAAAATGAATTAAAAAGAAATTTATATGCAAGACAGGAAAAAAAAAACTCTCAAAGTTGAAAATTTACTCAAAATTTTTTAAATTTGACAGATGGGTTGTTAAGATTATGATGAAAAAAATCTTCAGGAAAATAGAACAAAAAGCTAGGGAAATAAAAAAAAATTAGAAAAAGGGGAAATTTTTCTGACTAAAGGGAATCCCAGAAAGTTGCAGAAAAAGAGTTCTTTTTACCCAGAAAGGGATGAAAAATTTTAATAAAGAAGTAGTGTAAAAATGATTCCAGAAATGAAGACTATGAATCTTTGGGATCAAAACTTCCACTAAAAGTCCAAGAGAAGAATTTTTAAAATCAATTAGTTAAATACACCAAAATACATCATTCTGAAATATTATAAGCCCAGGAATAAAAAAGAAGAACATAAAACATCTTCCAGAAACATAAAGCAGATCACATAAAAGGAAAAGAATAAAAATTGCATTGGATTTCTCAAGAGCAATAATGGATCCAGAAGATTCTTTAAATGTCTTCACATTTAAAAATGAAATTATTTTGAACCTAGAATTGTATACCCCAACAAAATGTCAGTGACGTGTGATTAAGGATATTTTCAGATCTGCCAGGATTCAAAAATGGACTTCTTGTACTGTTTTTAAAGAAGGATCTCCAAAACAAGCTCATAAATCAAGAAAGAGAAAGAGATGGGACCCCAAAAATGCCAGTGGTATGTGGGCACTATTTCCAGGCCATTCCCGTAAAGTAACTTATGAGATCCTCCATGCTTTCCCTTTTCCTCTTTTTCCTGAGCAGCCCATTAGATTTCATTTCTTAACCTTCTGCAGGTAGAGAGACATGTAATTGAGTTCTAGCCAGTGGTATGTGGGCACTACTTCCAGGCCATTCCCATAAAGTAACATATGAGATCCTCCATGCTTTCCCTTTTCCTTATTAGTAGGCAGATGCAATGCACAGTAAAGAGTTCTGAGGCTTTAGAAGACATGAGAGCCCCAACATGAAAGAAATGTGTGGCTCTGAATGATCATTTGTCATAGAAGGCCTAGCTGCCACACATTGGACCATGACATGAGCAAGAAATAAATGTATACCATATAAAGCCACTGAGATTTGGGGGCATATTTATTATAGCAGTTAGACTATTCTGACTGTCACTGTTTGAAACATCATTTGGGGGCATTTGTGAATAACTTACAGTAGATACAAAGTTTACTAAACAAATTTGAAAAAGGATATGACTAACTCCAGGGGGTGAAAAGGCTATGAGAGAAAAGAAACATAATGATAATATACCACTCTGTTCAGATGTGGATATAATCAGAATAATGGGAACACTGGGGCGCCTGGGTGGCTCAGTCGTTAAGCGCCTGCCTTTGGCTCAGGTCATGATCCCAGGGTCCTGGAATCGAGCCCCGCCTCAGGCTCCTGCTTGGCAGGAAGTCTGCTTCTCCCTCTCCCACTCCCCCTGCTTGTGTTCCCTCTCTCGCTGTGTCTCTCTCTGTCAAATAAATAAAATAAAAAATCTTTAAAAAGAAAAAAAAGAATAATGGGAACACTGACAAGAGAGTAACCATAAACTAGGATGTGAGCAATAATTAAATAATTATTAACAATTCAATCTTTCTTGATTTCCTTTGCCTGCCTTTTAATCAATTATCAGGTAATTTTCCAAGCATCCAAACTAACATTGATCGATGTAATTTCAGGAAAATATGTCTTTCCTCCCAAAATATATATGGAGGGTGGAGATAAGGACAGTCTATGTACATGTATAAGACAACTAAGTCTTCAACCATTATAACAGACAGTCAATAAACAATGTGTAGAATTGCTGAGTAAAGAAATAGCAGAATAAGCAAACCATTTAGAAAAATGCAAGTACAATGAAAAACATGACTCAAATGTTTTACTGTGGGGATTGAGATTGGGGTAGGAGGAGATCTGTGCTGGTTTATAGAGTTATCACCATTTTTTAAAAACTATGAGATGTATTGCCTCAATCAAAATAAAATTAATATTGAAGTAGTCTTAAAATAAACAGAGAAACAAAATATTTTAATAGAGAACATTACAATTTATTAAGGTATGTGTATATATTTTTGCATAATAACCTGTTAGCAGTGGAGAAAGTGAATTTGGGGTGCAGCCTGATGATAGAGTTAAGGGGGTTGCACAGTCATTTATTCACTCAACAAACATTTATTAAGGTGTG